GTAATTTTTATACTTATCAATAATGCTCTTTTGAGTTAATTTCAAGATCAAACGGAACCAATGCAATGCAAAAGGTTCAAAAAATTTTGATATCCATTTTCATAAAATTTTCTTGATAGATCTTCTCATAAACCACATATATGCTTACAAATTAAGAATGATGAGGATGAAGAAAAAGAAGAAGAAGGGAATTGAGAAGCATACTTCAGCCTCGTTGAAGACTTGGTAGTTGTCCTTCAGGCTCGTTGTTGAAGACGCTGCAGGTGAGAAAAAAGTACCGCCTTTTTTCTTCTCATATATTTTAGTGAAATTTTAGGTATTTTGAGGTAAAAAATATAGGGTAAAAGTGTAAAAGTTAAAAGTTTGGGGCTGTTGAGGAAAGATTTTTTAATTTCATTAATATTAATTATATATTTGTCACTTCTACCTAATATTTAAAACTTGGAGGACTCCTACCTAATTAACAAACTTACTATTACCTAATATTTAAAACTTGGAGGACTCCTACCTAATTAACAAACTACTTTGTCACTTTTAATACATTATCCCAGATAGGCCCGTGTTCTTTCTCATGGCAAGTATTTTATAATTTTATTTTTATTTTTATTTTTGACAAATTATGGAAAAATATTTTATTTCTATTATATTCTTAATTTATTTGTATTGAATTAATGTATTTTTGAAAAATATAGTGAATAAATATATGTAAGATGCTACTAATTAATAGAGGTAAAATGATGTTTCACTACATGGCCGTCTCAACGCCCTCAATATTTTAAATATTATATATATACATATCATGTTTGGATAAATTTGAAAAGAATTTTTTGGATAGAAAAAAAATATTCCCTCCATTTCATATTAATTGAATTGTTGAGGTGTTTCACACCCTTTAAGAAAAAAAGATTAAGACATAAATTAGGCTTAACTTTCATTTTTACCCTTATTAATTATTATCAAAAATTATGATTAAAATAACTAAACATTAATTAATAACTAATTCCAATACGAACTAATGAAGGGTAAAATTGGAAAAACATTCTAAAAGTAATCTTAAAAAATTGAACAATTAAGTTAATTTGAAAAATGAAAAATGTCTCAACAATTCAATTAATATGAAATGGAGGGAGTAATAGTAATTGTTTACTTTATTTAATGTGGATGTTGTTGAAATAATTGAGAAATAGAATAGTGTGTAGTGTAGTGTAGTTAATTATTACTCCCTCCATTTCAAATTAATTGAATTGTTGAGACATTTTTCATTTTTCATTTTTCAAATTAACTTAATTGTTCAATTTTCAAGACTACTTTTAAAATGTTCTTTCATTTCTACCCTTCAAATTAATATTTAACAATGAATTTAAACAATATAATTTAAGTAATAATCAAAACAAACATTGTACTTAAACTAAGAGTTTATTGTTGGAATGCCAGAAACTTTTGTAGAAAAGATGAATTAATTTGCAGAACTGAAACTTTGCATTCCCATGTTCTAAACAGAAAATAGAGCCCAACAAATGTGTGTGTAATCAGAAAAGAAAACAGGCAATGCGAAAATTGGGAAGAGATTTAGATGGCAAGAAGTATTACCCGTTAAAAGAATTTGGAAGATGGAATCTGGATAAAATTGCAACCTCAGTAAGAACAGCTCTCCAGTTCCACAATTGTTCTAGACTCGAATTTGATTCATGTTTAGCAAGAGAATCACTAATTTGCCCAGTTTGATGGCGTACTTCCGAAGGATCAACATTATAAAAAATAGGATAAACGAACTGCGTACATTCATGAATTTTGACCAGCTCATTAAAACACCATTTAGATGACACATAATTTTTGGAGAAAACAACAAGAGAAATCTTTGACTCTTCAATTGCTTCCTATAAACTCCGTGAAATATCCTCGCCTATTGAAACTTCATCATCATCTCTAAACACATTAATTCCAGCATCAGATAATGTTTTATTAAGATGATCTAAAAAAATATTGCGTACATCTTTCCCCCTAAAACTCAAGAAAACTTCATAACATGGTGAATACAAACTAGCCATGGCTGAAGAGTAGAAACCATAAGATCAATGACTATTTATATAGGATAAATATGCTTTGTTTCTTGGGAATTATGTTACACACTAGTATTATAAAAACTTGCAAAAGAACTAGCAAAAAGGTTAATAAAAAAAGAAAGAAGTTGCAAAGCAATTTCCTCAAAGAATATATGTTTATTTTCTTAGAAGAGAAATGAGAAACATTATTGTCAAAGGAAATGGAAGAGAATTCAAGGGCGAGTTTTTAGCTTTGCAGAGTAGAGACAAAGGATTTCTCACTTTAGCTTTCATTGAGTGAAACGATTTAGATACATTCCTGATTCCACGCAATAAAAGCTTTAGTGAGATACCCTTTTTGTCTCTCCGATGCTAAAGCCAAACTCTCCGTTGTATTTATAACCATCTGCTTAAATAGTGTTTGGACATGCAATTTCATTTTATAATTTGAAATTATGAAAATGAGATTAAATCACACCATTTTAAATCATGAAATCTCAAATTCTCCCAAAAGTTTGATTTGAGAATTTCATACCATAATTTCATATTTTTAAAATATATAAATTGATCCACAAGTTTATATTTTGTAAAAAAAAACTATTTTATATCTATATATTTTTGCGAGATTCATAGAATATAAACACGATGATAAAATTACTAATGATATTGATCAGCAAACAATTTAGTTTAGCAATGAAACTTCACGAGTGTTTCTTTATCCTTATTCTAGTTTGAGTTGAATTTAATTAATAACTACCTAAAAGGTGATGTGGCAAAATAATTATCATCTCCTTTCTACGTGACCAGTGGTTAATTAAGAATATAACTATGAATTGATTTTGGTTAGAGAAGAAAGAGGACTCAAATTTCCTTTACTATATTTTACCGTAGTTATAATTATATTTAAAAAGATATTTTATTAATTACTTAATTAAGTTATAATGTTTATTTTAAATTTTTTTTGATGGTGTAGAAAATCTTATACACTGATATTGCACAAAACTTAAACACTTTTACTATCTAAAAATGACTTTTTCTCTCTCTTCAATATTATATTATTATTTCTATTTCATTTTCAGTTTTTTATTTCATAATGTAAATCATTTCTTCTTTTTGCAAATAATCACCCTATAATCTATATAATCTTCATGTAATAAAAAAAATTATTTTCAAATTCTTCATTTAATATAAAATTATATTTTATTCTAAATTTCTAAATAACATAAATTGCAATAAATATTATATAAATACATATTAACGAACAATTTAAATAAAAGTGAAATCATTGATGAAATACAATTACATAATAAATATTGCATCATCATAAAATTTATTTTAAATTTCACATAAATATTCAACTTTCAAGATTATTAAGTTTCTCCCATAAATATTTTATTAATGCATTATGGAGTTCAAAATGAGCAACTTTTTGTCCTTCTTTATTTTATGTGTAGCTAAGAGTTGTTTAAATTAACAATTTCATCTTGTATTCAATTATTTTGTATGCTAATTTACTTCCCCTAGTCCATTTTGAACTATTGCATCAAGTATTTTTCATGTTCATTAAAAAAGTGTAGTTTAATAATTTATCACTATAACATAAAAGTGGATTGTTTGAATTATCATGTAAATTTTGTGCATTCTTCACAGTGAAAAATAATTATAATTTTAAATTACATATTTAAAGTGACAATTTTTTTTTATAAAATCAAATTAGAAAAATTGTTAATTTGGGATAGAAGTAGTATACTTATAAAAAACATAGATGCTATATTACTTAGAAAATAATTACAAATATTAATGACTTAATTAATATTCTTATATAATGTAAATAATTTTAAATTACATATTAAAAGTAACAATTTTTTTTAGAAATAAAATAAAAAAATCATTTATTCGGGTGGAAATATTAACTTATCAATAATATATTTTAAGATTTTATATTATATTAAAAAATAATAAAAATATTAAAGACTTAATTAATAATATAATAGAAATTATATTAAATTAATCAGAAAATAAAATAGAGTGATAAATACTGAATAGTAGTTCTCCAAATTCACATCTCTATACATGGATAATAGAGAGTAATATGAAGATTGATTGGAGATGACATTCTTTATTTTACCCTTCAAATATAGAGAATAAAAGATAAAATAGAGATAGTCGGAGATGGTAAGTCAGTCAAATTAAGTGGAGCCCACAATAGCAATGAAATATATTTTAAGGGTTAAATATGTGTCTACACTAAAAGGAAAATAAAGCTACAATAATATGAACCAATAAGAAAAAGAAAGCCAGTCCAAACGAGTTTCACTGCTGCTGAAACTGGTTTGATTTGCAATTTCTGAAGAAGAGGACGGCATTTTTGTGCATCAACCAATAGGGGATTTTGTTGAATCGAAAAATGGAGAGGCGGCAACAGCGCCGACTCCGGTTGGAGAGGCATGGCCTCTTGTCCCGAAAGTTTAGCCCAAAGCTCAGAGTTTTCACTTCCAGAAAGGTCTTCAGATCTCTCCTCATTGTCCTCGCCTTCATCGCCATTCTCCCCCCTATTTACTTCCATCTTCGTCTCCGAACATTCCAGAAGGTATATCCTACTCTTTCTTTCTACATTTTTGGGTGTGCAATTTTTGTTCCCTAACTATTTCAAACATTACATAATTGTGCAGATGCAATCACAGAAATGCAGTTGGCTCCGCAGTATTCCTCTGGCGTGTGCTCATGGTGGTGATTCGTCCAAGGCCTTCCCCAACACTGTAGGAATTCCATTTCCTTTATTAGTTGCAAAATTATTCCCAACTTTATTTTTTGGAATTCTGATTATTGTATTGTATTGTTCATGTAGATGGAGGCATACCAAATTGCTCTTGATTCTCAGGCTGACTGCATTGAAATTGATGTTTCTCGTTCTTCAGATGGTGTATTGTTTGCCCTCCATGACCGGTATGTGGGCTTAAAACTCAGGGATACCATTTGTGACAAAACTTTAGTTAATATATGCATTGTGCCATGAGGTAGGTCACGTGATGAAAGCAAATGATTTTTTGGACAAAAGATCTACCTTATTCAATCCAAGAATTCGCATGAGAAACATAGTTTGAAGTGGCAAAAGAATCTGTAAATGTGAAGTAGAGTAGGACGAATACATGCTGGCTAGTGGTAGGAACCTTGCATGCTTAAGAGGCCAGTTAGGTTGGTATTTTCTTATAAAAATGGAAGTTGATATTTTCTACCACATATTAAAATTGAGCTTCATTGCATAAATTGTCCTCTACTCGAAATACGTGTTTTCTCTGGATTTTCCTTGCATATTTTGGGTCAAAGCTGGCTATACAACCTAAGATTTGGTTCAACGCTTCATAGTTTAGAGTCATTTCCCGCAAGAAGATAAGATGAGACATAATTCACGACATTCATTTGTAATTTTATTATAACAACTGTTTCACTGGTTTAGTTGTCTGGAGCATTGATTTTCACATGTCGCAGGCAGGGATTTGCAACGGATAACTGGGAACAACAATTCTAAAGTTTCATACCTTAGCTCAAAGGAGGTGGGAACTGATAGGTGCTCAATTTTTTATTTACTTAAGTCCGAAGCAAATAGTAGATTGTTATTTCTCCATGTCCATGCATTTCAAATATTTGATTTAGTAACACCTCGTAATTTAATAGATCTATTGCATTTTTTATTTTGCTTCTGTCCAACAAGTTGGCATACATCCTATTAGAGTTGGTGTTGAATGGGATTATCTTTACTTTGTACTTGTAGATTAAAGAGCTAGATGCAGTTCATCAGCTTAAGTCGGAGCATCATGATCTAACTGTTCCAACACTTGAAGATGCATTAAAGGTACTCGGAATATCCAAGGTTGAATAGTGTTCTCACGATTCATGCCCCTTCTTTCATTCTCGTCTCTCAAGAAATAAAAGTTGCTATTTTATCTCCCACTAGTGTGTAATATTTGTAGAAGCTATTAGAGATTTTCATGTTGTCCATTGAATTTTATTGTTATAACAATATAATAGCTGCATGAAATTCCTTTTGTTGTTTCCAGTAAAAAGGCTTTCTCACTATTTGTTTAATAACTTGGCTTTAATTTCCTTTAGTTGATATCAGGTTCCGTCCGACAAGTAATTCTTGATGCAAAAGTTGGTCCACCGTTGTATGAGAGAGAATTTGCAAAGGATCTTCTTTCTGTTGTAAGTTTATTAATATCATTCTTCCAGATAGTTACCATACTGGCCAACAAGTTTGCTTGAACATGTATGATATGGTTTCTCTTGTTGGTGGAAACATTAGCCTATGTTAGGAAAATAGATCTTGGGCCTAATTCAACCAAAAAAGCTAGCTCAAGTGGTGAGGATTGTCCAAGCCATACAAAGACTCACCCATCCCTTTTACCCTCGATGTAGGACTCTTCACTCTGATACTGTGTTATGATATTGGGCCTAACTCAACCCCTAAAGCTAGCTTCAGAGGTGAGGATTTTCCAAGACATATAAAGACACCACCCATCCCCTTTTTACCCTCGATGTGGGACTCTTCACAGCCTAGCTGTGAATCTATATAAGACGGAGACTTGCAACCCAGCTGTTACCCAAAAAGTTCATTTCTACTTCACTTCTTTCTTCTTCTGTTTTTTTCTCTTTTCTTTTGAGCTGGGAAAGAAGATGAAGAAGTTCATTTCTACTTCTGTAGGACCAACTGATTGAGACATGTAATATGGTCTGTCTTGTTACCTTTAACTTGCGAGTAGGAGGAATTTCATGCTTTTCTATGGATGTCATCCCACTACAAAGTCAAAAATATTTGGCTAGTCACCATGCATGATCAGCTTACCTGTAACTGGGAGTTTATTAACATTCTGTCTAGAGAGAACACACACAAGCGGAAGTTCAATATCTTGTCTCTCTTAGCCTTTTGGTGCAACATGGAGAATGTATATAATGTAGACAGCTTTTTAGATTTTTTTCAGTTATTTCTCAGACTGGAGTAGATAGGAACTGAGTTCTTTCGGAAGGTTCCTGGAATATAGAAACTGAAAAACTTGTGAGGATCCTGATTTACCTATTGCACAATCTTTGTCCTACTTTATTCATATAAACTGCTCACTTACTTTTCAGAAAGGGTTAATTAGCATTCTGACTTTTGAAGACTGCTAACTGATTACATGTGGTTCTAAAAAAAAGACAGCTAGTACATGCTTAAACTGTTGTTATTGGTACGAATTATAGGATGGTGTATGCCACCGACTGTGTTGTCTAGAATTGCAACTTAACAACAAAAATAACATACCCAGTGTAATCCCACAAGTGGGGTCTTGGAAGGATAGTGAGTACGCAGACCTTAAGGTAGAGATGTTGTTTCTGATAGACCGTAGGCTCAAGTTAAAGTAGTACAAA